TCTTTTTCTGTCTCTGTACTTTCAGTCTGTGTGTATCATCCATTCTGAGGTGTGACTTTCTCTTTCTCTCTCTCTCTCTCTCTCTCTCTCTCTCTCTCTCTCTCGTCTCTTCAAGACAGCATATATATGGGTCTTATTTTCTTATTCAACAGCTAACTTATGTCCTTTGGAGCATTTAAGCCATTTACACTTAAAGTGAATATTGATAGAAACATATTTGTTGTCATTTTTTACACTACATTCCTCTGTTTTCCTCTTCCTCCTCCTCTTTCTTCTTCTTCTTGAAACCTGTTAAAATTTCTTGGACTACTGCATTCGTGGCCACAAACTCCTTTACATTTTCTTGTCTGGGAAGGTTTCATTTCTCCTTCATTTTTAAATGATAGCTTTGCTGGGTAAAGTAGCATTGGTTGTAGGTCTGTGCTTTTCATCACTTTGAATGTATCATGCCAGTCCCTTCTGGTCTAAAATGTTTCGGTTGAGAAATCAGATGATAGTTTTATGGACGTTCCCTTGTAGGTAACGGACTTCCTTTACCTTACAGCTTTTAAGATTCTCTCTTTGTCTTTAACTTTTTCTATTTTAATTATGATGTGTCTTGGTATAGGCCTCTTTGGGTCTGTCTTTTTTGGGACTCTCTGTGCTTCTTGGACTTGTATGTGTTTTCTTCACCAGGTTAAGGAAGTTTTCAGTAATTATTTCTTTAAATAATTTCTGGACCCTTTGCTCTCTCTCTTCTCCTGGGACTGTGATGACATAGATGTTGTTATACTTCATGTTGTCCCAAAGGTCCCTTAAATTATCCTCATTTTTAAAAAATTTGGGGGGTTTTTTTTGGTTTGTTTTTGCTGCTTTCATTGGGTGTTTTTTCCACCTTGTCTTCCAATCACTGATTTGATCCTCTGCTTCATTGAGGCTACTGTTTGTTCCTTCCAGTGTATTCCTTATTTAGGATATGGCATTCTTCATTTCTGAATTTTTTATGGTTTCTGAATCCTTTTTCATGCTGTTAAGCATCCTTATAATTATTACTCTGAACTCTATATCTGTTAAATTGCTTATCCCCACTTTGTTCAGCTCTTCTTGGGGCCTGTTGTCTCCCCATTTTGGCTTCCCCTTTATTTTTGTTTGTAAGTATTGGGTGACTCCCAGGCTTGGTATGCTGGCTTTATATAGGAGGTGGCCTGTGGGGCCCAGTGTTACAGCCTCCCTGATCACCAGACCTGGGTGCTCTAATGATATCCCTTGTGCATGTTGCATAGGTCCTCCTGTTGTAATTGAGTCTTGATTGCTATTGGCCCATTTGTACATGGGATCAACCTTCAGGCTCGCTGACAGTGAGTCTGAACCCCCAACACGGCGTGCAGGCTGCTGTGCAGTGCCGATCACACCAAGTGGATTCACCTCAGCAGCGATGGTGCTGCCAACACCTCCCTGTGGCTGTGCTGCTTGTGAAGCTTATTGGACCCTGCTCTGCTGTTGTCTGAAGCTGGCCTCTGTGTGGATTGGTTCTGGTCCTATTTGGAGGGACTCTGCTGCAGGCCAAATCAGATGCCGTCTGTGACTGGCTCTGGACAACCTGTTTGGAGCTTTCAGCCATTCACAGCTTGTGGCTTCCTCTGCTGGACCTAGGTGCATGTGGAAAGAACCAAGCTATGCACCCAGAGATCTGCCTCTAGTTCATTTTCATTTAAAGTAATTATTGATTGCTTGTGGTTATTTCCATTTTACTAATTATTTTCTGATTTTGCTCTTGTTCTCTGTTTCTTTTCTTTTGTATGTTAATGATTTTCTGTAGTGTTGTGTTTGGATTATTTTCTTTTTATTTCTTGTATATCTCTTGTAGATTTTTGGTTTGTGGTTACTTGTGTTTTATATACCAAGCTATGTTTATAGCCATCTATTTTAACCTAATGTTTGCTTGCATTTGAACACATTCTGAAATTATTACCCTTCTTACTTACCTCCTCCATGTTTATATTTTTTGTAATTATTATTACTTCTTTTTTGTGTGTATCTTTAAATTTACTGTTGTAAATACACATGATTTTCTTAGTTTTGCCTTTTACCTTCTGTACTAGCTTTATAAGTGGTTGATCCACTGTTTTTATTATGTGTTTACCATTATAAGTGAGAATTTTTTCTTTATACTATTTTCTTATTCATATTTTTTATCTTTTCTCCTTTGAAAAGTCCCTTTAACATTTATTGTAATACTGGTTTGGTGGTGATGAGCTCCTCTAGCTTTTTCTGGTCTGTGAAGCTCTTTATCTCTTTATCAATTCTAAGCCATATCCTTGCTAGGTAGAATAATCTTAGTTGTAGGTCCTGCTTCAGCAAATTGACTATTTTGGACCAATCCCTTATGGCCTGCAACATTTTTGTTGAGAAATCAGCAGTCTTATGGGAACTCTCTTGTAGGTAACTAACTGCTTTTTTTCTTGCTGCTTTTAAGAGATTCTCTCTTTGTCTTTAACTTTTGGCATTTTAATTATATCTTTCTTGGTGTAGGCCCCTTTGGGTTCATCTTGTTTTGAACTCTCTGCAATTTCTGGACTTTTATGGTATCTTCTATGATTCCAATGTTGTCTTAGAGGTCCCTCAAAACTGTCTTCACTTTTTAAAAATTCTTTTTTCAAATTGCTGTTCTACTGTTTTCTATTTGCTTGTCTTCCAGATCACTGATTTGGCCCTCCACTTCACCTAATCTGCTGTTGATTCCATTTAATGTATTCTTAATTTCTGTTATTGTATTCTTCATTTTTGATATTTTTTCCTTTGATTTCTAGTACAAGTTTCACTGAGTTCATTTATTCTTTTCTTAAGTTCATTGAGCATCCTTATAACCATTGTTTTGAACTCTGTACCTGGTTAGTTGCGAGTTTTGTCCTGTTCTTTTATTTGGGACATTTATTTAGGACATTTACTTTGTCTCCTTATTTTAGCTACCTCCCTGTGTTTCTACATATCAGGTAGATCTGCTTCATCTCCCAGTTTTGGCTGAGCATTTTTATGTAGAAGGTAGGTTTTTTGTGTGGCACAATGGTGCAAGTCCCTGGTCACCTGAGCTGGCTGTTCCATGGTGTCCCTTGTGTGGATTGAAAGTATCCTCCTATTGTAGTTGACCTTTGACTGCTGTTGGCCTGTCATTGGGTAGGATTGACCCTATGGCTGACTTGCTGTGAGGACTGGCTTGTGACAAGCTGTTGTATGGAATTCACCTTAGTGGGGTTCTGGTTCCAATTAAGTCCACACTTTAAGCGTATCATTTGTTGAGCTATTTGGGTATTGCTCTAATGTGTCTGAGTTGGTTCTGCCATGGGTGTGTTGGTTCTGGGGCCTCCTTGCCATCCGGTGGGGTCCCAGGGAATTACCAGGGTGTGGTGAGCTAGCCATGTTAGCCAGGTTAATTGAGACTCAGATTTGGTGCCTGCCTATACCTGGCATCTATTTGGGGGAAGGGCTCAACAAAGGAAAAATGGCACCTGCAGGCACTTTAGTCCCAGAGAGATTTGACCCTCCAACCCTTGCTCTGAAGCAGGGCGATTCATTTCTTCCCCATGTGTCCCACATCCTTTTTGAGCTATTGCCCCTTCACTAGAGCTTAGTGTGAGTTTTTGTAAGCAAGTGAGTCTGTGCTCTGCTTGGGCCCTTTAAGAGGAATGCCTGGGACTCCAGCAACCCTCTGTCTGACCCAGATGGAGTCTTAGCTGATTTTCACAGAAAGGTATTGTGGGGACTACTCTTCCTGGCACTGGTACTCTGGCTGAAGAATCCCGTGGGGGGCTGGGACCCCTCACTCCTCAGGGGGGACCTCCACAGCCAACATATCCCTGCAGATTCCTATCCACCACACAGTGTGGGACCAGCCATTTCACATCCCTACCCCTCCTTCCAACCTCAACATGGCTCTGTTTATATTTCAGTTATAGGATCCTGTCCCACTAGTCTACAGTGGTTCTCAAAGATGGCTGTTCTATAATTTAGATATAATTTTGATGGGAAATGGTGAGCACAGCATTTACTTACTCTTTCATCTGGATCAAAATCAGGAGTGCCCTGCAAGACGTTATTATCTTTAATTTAGAGATGGAAAACTGACAGCCTGGGCGGTGAGTCGTGCTGCTCAAGGTGGCACATATATCATGCCAAGGCTGGAGTGGAATCCAGTTGGCCTGATCCCACACCTTTCCTTTCACGGAACATCACTGTTTTTTAGATCTCTCACTCATGACACAGAAATGGAGGTACTTGCAATAGAAATAAAAAGAAGTGGCCTTGATACAAGAAAAAAGTCGGGAGTGTTGGGTACTGTGAAATGTTAAATGGTTCATCATAAGGGTTGGCTATCACTTCTTTTTATCTATTTAGGATTTGAAGGGCTGGTTTATTATTCTTGAGTGAATTTAAATATCATCCTTGAAGTGGAATGGAGTACTTGTTAGAATAATATTTTTTAAAAATAATCCTTCATTGTTGAAAGTATTACATATGTCCCTTTCCCCCTCTCCCTCCATTGACCCTTTCCTGCCCAGCCGCCCCAGGCCCTCACTGCCCCACTGTCTGTGTCCACAGGCCATGCATATATGCATACAAGGTCCTTGGTTGATTACTTCCCACCCACCCTCCCCCCCCCTTCTCTCCATGCTTCCATGGGTCCACAATAATTTTTTACCAAAGAGATTTGCTTTTCACCTAGTCCATCTGAGACCCTAACAGCTGCGCATTCAGGTTGGCTGTGGGTAATTCTACAGCCCAGCTGTACAGCTGCCAAATTCTTGACTGAAACCAGTACAGGCTAAATTGCATATTGTCTGGCACCTGAGTTGCATGGAACTGATGTAACATTTGAATGAAAGCAGTCTTCCTACTGCTCCCTGTTGCAAATATCAGTTCCATTAAAGAAAGGTAGCCCAGCCCGCAAGACGGCCCAGGTTTCGGGGGTGGGGGTCCCCAACCCCGCCCGCAGCCCGAGTTTTACGCAGGTGCCTCTCTTGCAGCCCAAGCAGCTGTTCTGGAACAGCGACTGCACCCGGCGTTGCCGCTGCTTCCGGCGCAACCTGATCCAGTGCGACCCGCGCCAGTGCAAGTCTGACGAGGAGTGCGCGCTGCGCAACGGCGTGCGCGGCTGCTTCAGCACCAGGACCTCCTACTGCCTGGCGGCTGGCGGCGGCGTCTTCCGCACCTTCGACGGCGCCTTCCTGCGCTTCCCTGCCAACTGCGCCTTCGTGCTCTCCACCATCTGCCAGAAGCTGCCCGACATCTCCTTCCAGCTCATCATCAACTTCGACAAGTGGTCGTCCCCCAACCTCACCATCATCTCGCCCGTCTACTTCTACATCAACGAGGAGCAGATTCTCATCAGCGACCGCAACACCGTCAAGGTGACCGCCCGCCCTGATGCTAGGAAACGTGCGGGCGGCCTGGCCAGGGCCTGCGCAGGCGCTTTCTGATGACCAGATGTGAGGGTCACAGGCTGCTGCTGCATAGGCACCACGCACACGTCATCAGGTTTTATTTGTATTTTATTTTTAAATGTATTTTTATTGCTTTCAGAGAGGAAGGAAGAGGGAGGGAGAGAGAATCATTGATCGGCTGCCTCCTGCATGACCTCCACTGGGGATGAGCCTGCAACCCGGGCAGGTGCCCTGACCAGAATCCAACCTGGGGCCCTGCAGTCCCCAGGCCGGCGCTCTATCCACTGAGCCAGACCAGCCAGGGCAGACCCCCAGATTTTAAAGCAGGCGGTATAAAGGTTCTACGAGCGTAGGAACGGGCCCCTTTGTCCCTTTGCTGGCAGCCGAGGCTTGCAGGGCACGCACAGCATCTCGGGTGTAATGATGCCGGTGCCCCTGGAGCTTCAGGTGATAACGTGGCAGAGGCCTCGCTCTCTCTGGATTAGTTCCCAGTGAGCATCTCATTTTCTTCCATCTCTGCCATCTTTTCCAGAGGTGGAGAGAAGGCGAGCATTGGCCTAAGAACACAAGTAGCTAAACAACACCCCGAAGGAGGGGGCACCCCCACTAGGACAGGCCCAGGAGGACGTGCCAGCGGGAGGCACACAGGCGAAGGTGGTGATGTCCTCAGCTGGCTGCCCTGGGACAGCTGCCTGGCTTCTGTGCATCTTAGACACATAGAAAAATAAATAAATGCATGCATGAACCTCAGCCCACCCATAGCGAACATGCCTCTCTCACTCGGATTCCTCCCACCCATTCTATTTAAGAAGGTAACCTGCTCTAGAGAACTATGGACAGGGACTCCCAGCCTCAGGTAAACCAGCTGCTCGCCACAGGTAGACCTGAGGGTGGCGTCAGACCTCGATGCTCCGGTTAGGGAGGCAGGGATAGAGCCAGGACACACATGAGCATTTTCTGGAATTGAATAGTATTGTGCGTATCTGCTTTCCATCATTGGCTTAGGTAAGGGAGTGTATCTTTATTTGGACAGTCATCATGTAGCTTAGTATCCAGAGTTAGGCAAAGGCCTGGCAGTATTTTGCAAGCTTAAAGGAAGCGTTTACATTCTGCTGCTGGTTTTTAACTTCGGGGAAAGCTGCTACTATTTTTTGAACTCCCAGTCCCTTTTGCAAATTGGCCCATGTAGACACAATGATACTGGTCCAGAATCCAGGAGCCAGAGTGAACTTAGCCCCAACACAGAAAAACTGACATTGTTGCTGAATAAACTACCCCAAGCTACAAAAATAGAAAATAATCATATTTTTAAAGGCTTCTGATTTTCTAAGAAATAAAAATTACTAATAACCTACAGGTGAAAAAAAATACAATTTGTTTTGTAAGTATAAGAAAAGCATGTTATGTTCTATCCTAAGAGCTAAGAAAAGACATTGTTATAAAGCAGGAAAAGGATGAATGCAGAAAATGCTATGCTATAGGCTCTCTGGCTGGACTCCTGTCAACATTATAGGCAAGAAAACAGTAAAGATAGCAACACTGCTGCGGTTCACGCCAGCCATGTTAGACTCCTCAGTGCAGGATTGAACTTCACTTCCAGCCATTGGTTTATGCTTGGGAAATCCAGCCATTGGCTGTGGGCTGTATTTTTCTAATGTTTTCTTACTCTGCTTTCATATTTTGCTTCTTTGTGGGGAGCTGTGGCCAGTAAGATGAGTGAGTGTTCTTGAACTCTGGAACAGGGGACAGCAAAGTACAGGATTTAGCCAAATTTATTTGCTGCCTGTGTTTGTAAGTAAAACTTTATTGGAACACAGCCTCAGTGACATCTTGTCTATGGGTGCTTTCCTGCCATGAGGTTGGAGTTGAGTAGCAATAGAGATCATAAAATATTAACTCTGGCCCGTCACAGTCAACGCTTGCAAACCTCTGCTCTAAGGATCATTTACTTTTATTGTCTTCCATAGGTGAACGGCACACAAGTGAATGTCCCTTTTATAACCGGGTTGGCAACCAAAATCTACAGCAGCGAAGGGTTCCTGGTGATTGACACCAGCCCCGACATCCAGATATACTACAACGGCTTCAACGTCATAAAAATCAGCATCAGCGAGAGGCTGCAGAACAAAGTGTGTGGCCTCTGTGGCAACTTCAATGGGGACTTAACTGACGACTACGTAACCCTGCGGGGGAAGCCAGTGGTGAGCAGTGTGGTGCTGGCCCAGAGCTGGAAAACCAATGGCATGCAGAAGAGGTGAGAGGCCCGCCACGGCTCGGGCCCGCCCTCCCTTCCACGGGGCGGCCATGGAAAATGCTCTTTCCATAGCATCACTTTCTTCTCCTGGATAGAGCGAGCCAAAGTCTATGGAGTTTTCATGATACAAAGAGACACATCAAGGCCTCAGTAGTGTCTTGTGTGGCAGAGGAAGGAACTGGGTTAGGTGGTATCACTGTGAATTTTCACCGAGTCTGCCCAAGCTTACACTAGAAGCCTTGGCCAGTGGCCCGGCTGGGACGAAGCACCCAGGGGGGTGGGATTCAGAGTTAACTCAGGAGAAAAGGGCCACAGCTTGCTCCCCAGTGCCGGTCCAGTCATGTGCTTATGACTCTTACTGGAGGGCTTGGGTGTGGTTGTGCAGGTAAAGTTGGTAGGAGTCAAGACAGCTTCTTTAAACACAGAAGTCACCAAGGCCCTAACTGTCCAACTTCAAACAAGCTCTATGCATTATCTCAATAGGGTTTAATTTGGGACCCTCTGGGCTGCTAAATTAGTCTGGATCTGTAGACACACTTCTCTTAGCTGGCATCGCACCATGGCTTTAACACACCAGACACCAGCTAATACCTGGATGTGGACATAAAGCTTCAAACCCCTTGTGAGCCTTTCGGGTATAGTAGTCATTATTATTATTGCTATCTGTTATATCAGTACTTGTTTATGGTTATTGTATCAGTTCTACCAGTCAGTTATATCAAAGGTTAATATGTTAGGATCTCCCTTTTGTCTGGTCCTTGGCTACCAAATCAGTTTGATTTTATGCTCACTTATTCCAGCGACATTAACATAGAAATGACCCGCGTTTCTGAGGTCCCAAGACGGTCGGTGTTGGGATCGGTGTGGTGTGTTGGCTTCTGGGTCTGCAGAGGACATAGCAGACAGGGTCTCCCGCCCCCAGAGAGCCCAGGGGCTGCTTTCCTTCCCTCTCTGACCCGCCCCCTCGCCTGCAGCTGCAACGAGCTGCAGTTCTCGCAGTATGCGGCCGCCTGTGACAACGTGCACATCCAGAGGCTGCAGGGTGAGGGCTACTGCCTGAAGCTCACGGACATGAAGGGCTTCTTCCAGCCCTGCTACGGGCTGCTCGACCCGCTGCCCTTCTACGAGTCCTGCTACCTGGACGGCTGCTACAACCACCGGAAGCTGCAGCTGTGCGGCTCGCTGGCCGCCTACGGGGAGTCCTGCCGCTCCTTGGGGATCCTCAGCACCGAGTGGATCGAGAAGGAGAATTGCTGTAAGAGAACTGTTTTGTTTTCTAAGTTAAGAACAGCATTGCTGGTGGCATGGTTCTGCCCCTTTTGCTGGCTGGTCTCAGACCCGCCTCCGGGGTTGGAAAGGTGGCTGCTGCCAGCTCCTGCCCAGGTGTGGGGTCCAGAGCCGGGGGAAGAGGGAGGAGGGGATGAGGCTCTGGGTGGGATGAGCACCCATGTAGTGACTTGTGAAGTGGAGAGACAGAGTACGCATGGCACCCAAACTGATCCAGGCCCCAAACTCAGCTCCATGCCACTCCTTTAACATGGTCAGAGCCTGAATCAGAGAAGCAATGTGAGTGGCAAATGGCAAGCTGAGTTAGAATGGCACTGGCCGTGTCTGCCTGGGTTGAAAGGAAGCTGTGCTAAGAATTATAAAGGGATGTTATATATATACTAGAGGCCCGATGCATGACATTTGTGCACTGGCAGGGAGGGGGGTCCTCAGCCAGGCCTGTGGTTCCCGCCACCACTGCTGCGCTCACCAGCCATGAGGCTGGCTTCTGCATTGAGCGTCTGCCCCCCGGTGGTCAGTGCACATCATAGCGACAGATTGTTCCAGTGTTTGTTCGATTTGCATAATAGCGTTTTATTATAGAGGATAAAATAACTATATATAGCAAAAGGCCAATATGTTAAGTGTCCCTCCGCCCATCTGACTGGTCGCTATAACGCACACTGATCACCAGGGGGCAGACGCTAATGCAGGAACTGCCGTGACGTGCACTGGCCATTTACAGAGAAACTGCACCGTGGAACTGGCGCCGACAAAGCAACACTCGGCTTCCCCCAGGTGGGACAGAGGCCCCGCCACCACCCTGGAGCAACACCCCACCAAATCGCAGCTGACACTGCCATGGCACAAAATGTGGCCCACAGCCCAGCCCAGAAATGGTGGCTGTGGGTGTCAGGTAATGGCATCACATAGCAACGCCTGGCTTCCTCTCCCTAGCAATGAGCCTCCTTGGAGTTTCTTCAGCCAAGGAACACGACTTGCTTTATAGCCAGGTGCAAACATTTCACACTGTAACCAAATGTCTGTGAAGTGTTTTCATATGCCTCATCTCATTTGATCCTCACAGAAGTCCTGGAGTAGGTAGATAGGAAACTCGATGGAATCC